AGATTTTCCTATTAATATCGTACTTTCATATTTACTTCTTCCAGACAATTTGTAAACCATACAACTGTGGGAATATATTGTTTTAACTTTGAATATTTTACAATGAGATCAATATACAGTTTTCTGAGGTTATCTTATGAAAAACAAATCAGCCAACAACTCCAGTAATTAGTAAATCTTAATATATATAGTCTGGGGATTACGTTATATTTCCTAGGCTTAAAATTCTATACCTCTACATCAACGGTACTACGTATCTTTCTCAAACTCAATTAGGCAGATAAACAGATAGATAAACAGGAAGGCAGATAAGGATCTACTTAGTATAAAAAAAATCGAAAGCTTTAAGTACTTAAAGAAATGTGTTATCTTGAAACGTCTTAGAGAAGGGCTTTTTACCAATTGAGATTGTTTAAACCCTTACAAGGAATAACTTAATCTTTTCCATTAGTTGGACTGCTTCTAATGATACACGAGTCTACCACTTTGTAAGCGATAACTGCCAAAGACTCATGTAGTCATGGCAATACTGGATGGGGTAGGATTATCTCTGGTTAAGGCAGAAACTGGAGAATAATCTTAAAAATGGAGAAAACGTTCTTTATGTGCATTAAAAACTTCACTTGAGACCCTTTTTTTTTAATGAAGTTGCATTTTAAACTTTCCTCGCTATAGAAAACAAAGAGGACAGCTTTAAAGTCACTACGAAGAAGCGCATAATGTAATGGAAACAAAAAGTCCTCGTTTGAAGCTAACTTTATTCGAAGTGTTTTAAATGTGTTTCAGATATACAACACTGCAAGCTTTCCAATATAAAGAGCACTATCAGGAATTGGCGTTATAATGTATAAATATATTAAGAAATATGAAGACATCTTATAAATCCTAGATTTCTTTTCGGATCTATGAATGACTATCGGTTTCTATTCGGATCTATGAATGACTATCGGTTTCTATTCGGATCTATGAATGACTATCGGTTATTATAATTTCAGTATTCAACAAGATTTATGCCTATTCATTTTTTTTCTTCAATTTCAGTGCAGAAATGATTGTGTAGAACGCTAATCTATTCTTTTATTTGCTACTTCCGCTGCAGCAGACTAGTTTCGCCGAATTCGCGGCTCATCAATACTAGGCCTCATATAATGGTGGAATGTCAGCATTTTGTTTGGTTGTACGGTCCTTTCCTCACCACTAATAATGTTAACCAAAGAGTTGTACTTTTATGACTTATTAGATATCAGGAATCAAAAAGTTTACACTTTATTTTATGAAGATTGGCCTAACAACCAAACGTAAAGAAGTTTGATTTTCTATTATATCGACTTTCAAACTTCGATATTTACTATAATACTATTTACTTAGAAATAACAAATCCGTGCTTCTTTCAACAATTTTGGTTTGACAAAGAAATATTTGCCATTTGTGGTACAAGGTAATGGCGCCAATACACGTTAAAGTTTATCTAACAACTTATGTTACTTACCACATATGTCACATTGAGTAGTTTCACGGGCATTTTAGTTTCCTTCAGAGGAAATGACAGAAATCCCTTGAATCCCCTTAGTAACTAACACATGTATAGAACTCCCTTGAATCCCCTTAGTAACTAACACATGTATAGAACTCCCTTGAATCTCCTAGTAACCAATACAAGTACAGAACTCCCTTGAATCCCCTTAGTAACTAACACATGTATAGAACTCCCGTGAATCCCCTTAGTAACCAATACAAGTACAGAAATCCCTTGAATCCCCTTAGTAACTAACACATGTATAGAACTCCCTTGAATCCCCTTAGTAACCAGCACATGTATAGAAACCCCTTGTATCTCCTAGTAACCAATACAAGTACAGAACTCTCTTGAATCCCCTAGTAACCAAGACATGTATGATGTACCGAAATTCATTGAATCCCCTTAGTAACTAATACATGTACCGAAATTCCTTGAGTCCCCTTAGTAACCAATACATGTACAGAAATTCCTTGAATCCCCTAGTAACCAAGACATGTATGATGTACCGAAATTCCTTGAGTCCCCTTAGTAACCAGTACATGTACAGAAATCCCTTGTATCACCCTAGTAACCAATACATGTACAGAAATTCCTTGAATCCCCTAGTAACCAAGACATGTATGATGTACCGAAATTCCTTGAGTCCCCTTAGTAACCAGTACATGTACAGAAATCCCTTGTATCACCCTAGTAACCAATACATGTATAGAAATCCCTTGCATTCCTTTAGTAACCACTCACTTACAGAAATCCCTTGTATCACCCTAGTAACCAATACATGTATAGAAATCCCTTGCATTCCTTTAGTAACCACTCACTTACAGAAATCCCTTGTATCACCCTAGTAACCAATACATGTATAGAAATCCC